GTACATCTGCGCGCAGGTGGTAGGCTATGGAACACGGCAGATGACAGGGCAGGGGCCGGCCTGGCGAGCGGGGTCCTGGAACCCCTACAGAGAAGGCGATGGGGCGGGGGCCAGCGTGTTGGGATCTCTCTGCAGGGGCAGGACGGACCCTGTCTGAAATCTGGCTTGGGTACTGCTGCCCCCTCCCCCTCAAGAGGACGGGAAGTTTCCATCCCTCCAAAATGAGCTTTTTGGGGGACCACGGCAGCCTCACAAGCCCGCAGCAAGGACACTGGGGAGCCAGGCCCTCACTGTGGCTTTAGAGACAGTGGCAAAGAGCAAGGGATGGGACCAGAAGGCCGCAGGGCTTGCTCGGGGCCTGGCAGAGCTGGACGGAGCTTTCTGAGGATGCGAGGTGGCGCTGGGCTGCAACCGGTTTCCTCCCACAAAGGCCTCTGGGAAGGATGGTGGCAGAGGTGGCCCCTGTGCCTTCCCTCTGCGTCCAAGTGCCCTGTTATGGCTTAGATCTCAAATGTCCCAAAAGTCCCCCGTGTGCAGAAGGCGACTGGATCACAGACCGCAGCACCTGACAGTGGATTCGTCCATGGATGCGTTTGTGGCTGGCGTGCTGTTGAGGGAGGGCCGCTTGGAGGTGGTCCCCCTGGGGTGACCTGGAAGGGTCTCTTCTTGCCCCTGTTCCTCTCTGCTCTCTGCTTCCAAGCTACCAGGGTGCAAGCAGCTCTCCTCCGCCAGGCCTTTCTCCCTTGGCGCAGCGGACCGTGGACTGAAACCGTGGGCCCTGATAACCCTCTGCTCCTTGCAGTTTGGCGTCAGGTACCGTGTCCTGGCTTCTCTGCGCTAGATCTTTCAGAACTCACTGTCTGAGCCCGGGGCAGGGAGACCATGAGGATGAAGGGGTGATGCCACACTTGGGATAGTGGTGACAGTGACAGCAGCAGGGGAGTGAGCGCTCCCGTGGTGGGTGTGGCTTGCCAGTGGAGAGGAGGCGCCACCTAGAGGCCTGCCAGTTGGTGGCTGCTGAATTATTCATTTCTCAACCACTGCGCCAGGCCTCTTGCCAGGAGAGAGCCCTGTGACCCAGAGCTTTAAAAATTAATGCGTTCATTGAGTCATTCCCTCGACTCACATTCACAGCCACCTATTTCTTGTGGAGCTTGGACGCTTCACACCACAAAAGACCCACGGGAGAAGGAGGAGTTCACACAGCGCTGTTTAACCAGCAAACACTGCGGGTGCAGACAGTATGGGAGGCCGGCGGCCTGAGGGCAGCGCCACTGTGGTTCGGGGTGCACATGTGCAGACACGTGTGCATGTCGCAGGACAGACGCATGATGTGCCTGTGTTTGTGTACGGTGCGCGTGGAAGCCGAGAGGCGGCAACCTGATCTCCAAAGGCTGAGGGGAGCGTGGGGCGGCTCTCAGCCGTGGGCAGACGGTCCCTAGTGTGCTCCAGGCATGATGGGGTCAGCGGCACAGTACAGGGGCACATACGCACCACGTGCACCCTACTACGCACACAGACCCAAACCAGCTATGGAGGAGGGTGTGGGCAGGAATACCTTCAGGCAGCAATGACACTGAGCTGGAAGACCTGAGGCTGGCCAGGTGATAGGGTGACTGGACAAGGACTGGCATGTGAGCCCTAAACGTTGGGCTTTCTCCTGAAACAGAGGTGCCCTGGGGGATGTTAGGGAGGGCAGGGCAGCTTAGCTTTTTTTTTTTTTTTTTTTGTCTTTTTGAGACAGGGTCTCCCTATGATGTTCAGGCTGGCCTTGAGCTCACTTTGTAGCCCAGGCTGGTCTCAAACTCACAGTGATCCTCCTGCCTCAGCCTCCTGAGTGCTGGGATGACAGGCGTGCGCCACCACGCCTGGCTAGGGCAGTTTAGCTTTGAAGTTCAGGAAGCTCACTTGGGTAGCTGGTGTCTCCGGCTTAACGAAAGCTCCCCGAAACCCGTCCACTTCTGAATCCCAGACTCTTGGAATGGGACCTGATTTGGCAAAGGATCTTTGCAGATGCAGTGAATACTGGGATGCAGGTGTGAGCTCATCCTGGCTTACTCGAGGAGATGCCAGCCCAGTCACAGGTGTCCTTTGAGGAGACAGAGAGGCCAGAGTCACACACACGGGAGAAGGCCAGGTGAAGATGGGGTGTGGAGACTGGAGTGATGCAGCCACAAGCCAAGGAATGACTGAGGCTACAAGAAGCCAGAAGGGCAAGGAAGGGCTGGAGGAAGCATGGCTCTGGCTACCAGCAATGTGTGGAGAAGGACATTCTTTGATTAGAATGCATTGAGGATGCAATGATTTGTTTATTATTTGTTAGGGTTTCTTTAGATATGGCTTCATTATACAGCCCGGATTAGCTTTCAGTTTACGATCCTCCTGTCTCAGCCTCTTGAGTGCTGGGTTACAAGTGTGTCTTGGATTACATGTGGAGAAGGATAATCCTTTGATTATCCTTGCTAAAACGTTTTGGTATCCACCCATTTGTACTAGCTATGCCCTTAGTTTTCACTCAATAAAAGGTGACTGAAATTGGTATTCGAGCCTGCAGTCCGAGTGGCTGTACGCCCCCTGATCCCAGCCTTTCGCTTCTCTTGTTTTTCTTGTCTCTCTTTACTTTTCTTGTTCGTCTGCAGGTACCTCGTTCTCAGGACCTGTCACTTTAGATAGAATGACAGCAACGCAACAGGGTGCATTTCTATTGTCTTTTTAAAATTTATTTTTGCCAGGTGTGGTGGCGCACACCTGTAACCTCAGTCCTCGGGAGGCTGAGGCAGGATGATTGCCATGAGTTCAAGACCAGCCTGGGCTACACAGTGAGTTCAAGGCCAGCCTGAAATACATAGTGAGACCCTGCCTCAAAAAACCAATAAATAAATAAATTATAAAAAATTATTTTTATGTTTTTTACAAATATTGTTTATTTTCATGGTGCTGGTACAGACAATGTCCATTTAAAACCCAGACTCCGGGCCAGAAAGTAAAACTAAAATCAAAAGGAGCAGTGTTTTATTGTCTACAATTCTGCACGAGCAACTTTATTAATTACTGATGAAAATTAGAACGCTTCTGGGATCTTCTGGTAAGTTTTTTTTTTTTTAAGTCTTAAAATGCTTTCTCCTGAATGAAGCCAATTTTGGACTTAATCCCTATTCTCACCACATATGTCATCTTCACTTCAAAACTGATCTTCCTCTTCTCTTGGTCCAGGCCCTTACACATGAAGCTTCAAGTTAAGGAAGGGTCATTTTTCCACAGTTCGGCACTCTGAAAAACTTCTGTCTCCTACTGCAAGTCACGGTCCGGGAGCAAAGCAATCACGAGCCCAAGCACCAGGGCAAGTGGAAAGTTGTTACGAACATCGCATTGGCTAATAGTACTCATCACAACCTGAAAAGGCAGTCCTGAAAAAGGGGGCCTCTCTGCGCGTGCGCACCATTTTTACAAAGGCCAGGACAAGGTCTGATCACTGAAACCAGCACTATGAAAATAAACAGTGATGAGTACTGAGCACTGGGGTTCAAGTTACCACGCTTCAGACAGACAGGGATGCCACATTACAAAAGAAGTATTTTTTTAAAAAATAAAAGAAGACTGAGGGAAAAGAAAAAAAAGTGAAAAGAATACCTAAACCTTCAAATGATCACCCGCTTGGTCCTGATGAACTTCAAAGCATCTTCTTTTGTTCTCAGCTCTTTTGGAGTGTGCCGGTCAGCGGTTTGGTTTTCTGACGCTCACAAAGAAACCGACTCTCTTTCCCCATCCCTGCTGTCTTTAGTCACCCTGTTTGTCCCAGCAGTCCCAGAACTGGAAAGAGGAGAGGACTCGTAGGGTGCAGGGGAGGCTTGGGTGCTGAGGAAGGGGAGAAGGCTGGACAGATGGCAGGTCGGAGGTGGAGATTTCCAAGTGAACCCGCTGGAGGGCGTTTACCTCTCCGTATTCCCAGTGACTTCAAATCATAGCAACTCTCTGTGTCAGAATGACCAGTGTCACCGTCACTAGCTTGGGAGCCCCTTTGGCACTCTAAGTCCCTAACACCTGATGCCCAATTTTCTGCTTGTGGAAAAAGGAATGCAATACGGGATGATCAATACATGAGTTTGATATTCAACATTCATTCAGCAAACACTTATTAAGCTCTTCCTGTATGCCAGAGTTTAAATCTGTTAGATCCACATAGATACCCTTAATGCCGCCATTAAGAAACGTCCTCTTAGCCTTCTGCATAGCGTTTCCTTCGGGTTTCATCTGTATGCTTGTTCCGACATGTTTGATAATCTGGATTGCCGGGCGTGGTGGCGCACGCCTGTCATCCCAGCACTCGGGAGGCTGAGGCAGGAGGATCATTGCGAGTTCGAGGCCAGCCTGGGCTACAAGGTGAGCTCAAGGCCAGCCTGAACGGCAGAGCGAGACCCTGTCTCAGGAAGACCAAAAAAGTTAACCATTGATAATTTCCTACCATTTTGTCTGTAATTTGCTAAGTCCCCCCTATTTTTAATTTAAAATTATAAAAAAAAAAAAAAAAAAAAAAGCAACGTGTCTTATTAGTGTCGACTGCCTACTCACAAGGCTCGGAGGACGCCTAAATCGCCAGAGGGATTTTCCGCCCCCGCCCTCAGTTTGAGCCTAGTCCTTCCAGCTAGGGCCGGGAGCAGAGTTTGCATTTCCCAGGGGCGGGGCATCTGCTCCCTGGAGCAGCGCTGGGAGGCTGAGTTCCCGGAGGCGGGGCGTAAGTTTCCAGGGGCCTGCGTGTTCAGATTCCGGAGGTGAGGAGGCGGGCGCACGCATACCTCCCGGGGGCCGTCGGCCTCTGCGCCTGCGCCTGCGCCTGCGCCGCTCGGCGGGCCTCCTTCCGTTGCGCAGCCGTACTCACCCCGAGGGGCGGGGGGAG